TGCAGCAGAGAGAGTCACAAAGAGCAGCCAGTCGCTTTGATTGGTGCTGCTCCCTGCTGCAGGGGTGGGCATGGGCCAGATCAAAAGGCTTGGCAGGCCAGCTCTGGCTCGCGGACCGTAATCTTGCCCATCCCTCTCTGATTTTAGGGTCTTATAATTCTGTGATCATCACAGCACACAGGCACAAAGAAGGTAAGGAAAGTGTATCTTGATGCAGTTTAACAGAAGTAGACATTAATTTACCTCTGGCAAAAAAGATCTAGGACTGGAGATAGAGCTTAAAGCAGTGGTGTTAGTTTCTTATCATTAGGAGAGAAAAACTGAGCAAAAACTGGAAAGCATCTATACATCAAAGTTTTGATTCAAGGAAGCTGTTTATACAGACTATCCATGGCACAGCAGGTTTAGAATAATCTGAATTTCGCTTGTAGCTGGTTAACCATCAACTGAAACATCAATTCAAACTAGTATTTAACAATAAATCTCAAGTGACATTTGTGGTTGGCTGCATTATTTCTGAGTTAATTTTTTTAAAGCATCTATCATACTGTTACAGACTAGAGAAGCTTTCTCAGCAAATTGTAGAACTTAAAAATAGCTGAGAGAGAGAAATGGAGTGCAGGAGAAGGGAGTGTCTGTATGCATGTGGAATCGTTTGCTATGACCTTTATCAGGCAGGTAATTTCACTGAAGTCTAATGTAAACTTTATGAAGTTCTGAATATGAAAAACATCCCTTTCAAAGTTGCAATTTCTTGTGATTTTGGGTAGAAAACATGTAAGACTACTTTCTCATTTTTGTGAAGGAAAATTTAATTACGGTTGTTAAAAGTGATTGCACAGTACAATGTCCCTTCGAAAAGTATTCTCTAAAAATTAGGGAGTGGAATTTGAGGAAATACTGCAGGTTCCACAGGAAAAAAAATTGTAAGTTGTAAACGATATTAAATCGGAAATGGCTAATGTTCATGACCACTAAAACAAACAATATAAAAAGTTACCAGTGCCCCAAAAAGAACACCCCATCGCCATATATCCTATCAGTCTGTCATTTTTAAACATGAGTCCACCCTGCTTTACTTGGGACAACTGGCTGTGCTTTGGGGTTGTTTTTTGTAGTTGCTGCTGCCTAGGCTTTCAGTCTTCAAATTAAAAATTAGATCCAGCTGTCCTATTTTATTTTCAATGACTCAGACCGAATGTTAATGGTTTGAACTACTCTCAGTGTTTAAAATTATAATAACTAGCCTTGGAAATTAAACTGAATTTGAAATAACTTTGAGTTCCATTCTCCTAATAACTATTATCATTGAATTGCTTTGTTAGCTTTGATTTTAAGAAAGCAGTGGCTAAGCCAACCTTGTGATTTTGGTACTCAAAAGCCAACGGGGAGATTTAGATCCACATTTACTATTAATTTTAATGGGATCTGAGTTTAAATCTCCTAGTCAGCTTTAGAATATCTTAACATAAATTTATTTCCAAAGTTACTAAGGGGCCATTCCTCCTGCCTGTTACACTCACCAACCTTCCTCTCTTTGGGGGTAGGTGTCTGGCCAGGGGAGAAGGGGCAGGAACAGGCTGGGGTGCGGAGCCTCGGTGGAAAGGGTGAGTGAGAGGGTAGGGTGCAGGGTGTCGGTAGAGGGGATGTAGGGAAGTGCAAAGGAGGAGACTGCATGGCTCATGGCTCCCACCTCCGGGAAGCTCCATATGGTTTCCGCTCCTAAAGGAGGGCAAGGCCTCTTGGATCCAGTCCCACACACTGAGCACTGGGAAAGGAGGTGGGAGCAGGCCACGTGGCTCTCGCCCCTCCCAGAGCACAAGGGATGGGGAGGGGGAATGCACATGGCTCCCCCCGAGCACCGAGGAGGGGAGAGTCTACATGGCTCCTGCCCCTCTCCCCCGGGCACTGGGATGCAGAGTGATGTGATGATGTCACTGTCATCCCACAAGAAAAGATATTTTGAAGTGATTTCATTTTTAAAACAGTGCAAAATCACTTAATTTCTTGGACATATACTGTATAAGACATAAGTCTGATCAACTTGGGTCTTTTTTTATCTGAGTGCCCAATAATTGGCAACATTCACATATTATGTTATTAAGACAGTCTTTAAAATTTAGGTTCGGAACATACATTATGTGCAAATTACAATTTTGAACAGCCTCTACTTACTGACAAAGATTACAATGAATTTTAAAGAATTCTGTGCTGATTTTATCCATGATGTAAGACAACACCAAATTACGGAATATTCTTAAAAATGGTAAAATCCCTCAATTAACTAATTGACGTTGCAAACTTCCACAAATGTACAAGCTACTATCATGTTGCTAAAGACACAGCAACCAATTTTTTAATGATCCCAAACACTCATTCAGAATGAACAAAGACTGAAAATTGCTTACATTGTGTTTGGTTATTCTTATGCAATCTTCTAATGATCAGAACAATGGTTCTCAACCACACCCATATGCATTCTTGGAGATATGCTTAGGTCTTCAAAGGATACATTTACTCATCTACATATTTGCCTAGCTTTATAACAGGCTACATAAAAAGCACTAGCAAAATAAGTATAAACTAAAATTTCATACAATGACTCATTTATACTGCTCTACAGACCACGCACTGAACGGTAAGTGCAATATTTATATTCCAAGTGATTTTATAATTATATGGTAAACATGAGAAAGCAAGCAATTTTTTATGCCTGATTTTGTGAGCAGGTAGTTTTTTTAGTGCAGTGACAGGGTATGCAAAACAAATCAGACTCCTGAAATGGATTCAGTAAGTCTGGAAAGGTTGAGAACCACTGGACCAGAGGACTAACGACCAGCCCTTCATTGTTTGACAAATTAGATCTAGTACCGGTTAAACCTGATTGAATTTTTTAGCACAAATGAGGCATTCAAAACTGTATGAAAAAATATAAGATCGAATAATTAGCCTCCAACATCTGGTAATTTGTTTAGAAAATGCTAACAACGTGATCCAAATGTCAGGACAATGCCTCAGTTAATGGCCCATTAGAAACAACTCTGAGGACACAACTACTCTATGGGCCAGATCGATGAGGCATGCATCCTTTCCCCCTAGCTGTGCCTGCTGGAGCTGCAGGGACCACGGAGATGTGCTTCTTAGCTGGCCCCACGCTGCTGGGGTAGTCCTCTCTCCAATGGACAGTCTGCATATTGGATCCCTCACCGCCAGCACCATAAAGCAATGATTTAAATGAGCAGAAATTAACTGCGTTAAGGACCTGATTAACGCCAGGTATTCCCAAACTTATGGCTGTGACCCAGTACTGGGGTTGAAGGACTTGGAGCACTGGGTCAGCAGTCAGAGCTTAGGAAGGGGGAGGTTAAGTCACTTAACCAGACTATGCTTCCATGCCTTCATGTGCAATACAGCAAGGCAGCCTCTTCCCGACTTACAAACCGGTTACGGACCAAGCAGTTGGTCGTAACTTGGTTAGTTTGTAAGACGGACCCCATAGAGTTACAAGCAACCACGCTGTTTGTAAGCGCGGATCACGTTTGTAACTCGGGGTCTGCCATTTACGATAGTTTCAGGCATAACTGCGAATGGTCATAAGTCGACCGTTCGCAGCTGTATTGAAAATTACTAGAGAGAAAGCTATGGATGAAAATACACTATTTGTTAGGTATGACAGCTATTATTTCTCCAATAACGCCCAATTTTTGGCTGTCAGTTAGATATTTCATTCTGTCTTTCTACTATATATAACTACAGTATTAGAATACTCTGATAAAAATATGAATGCTTTACATGAACGTTATAAAAGCCTGTAATTTAAACCAGAAATTTAATTGAATAATCAGCTCCACCTTAGGGACAACTTTGGCACTGGTACACAAGTTCCTGGTTACGTGTTGTTTTCCCCAATAATGGTTACAGCTTACCAGAAAAGCCTTCAAAAGTGATTCTCTCCCCTGGAACAGCCCCACGGGGGGGAGCAAGGATCTCCACCTTCTCTGGTGAGCTGGCACACATCACCATTGCTTGAGATACCACTCCCCTCATTTTTGCAGGCTTCAGGTTACAGAGTAATATTACCATTCTTTTCTGCATCTGCACAAAAATGAGTAGACATTTGTTTAAAAAAAAGTAAGGAAACTGAGTTAGGGTTTTAGAAGTTATTGTATTATAGAAAAAAAGAGATTATGAGGGAGAAATCATATGTAATTCCTGTATCCAGTACTGTACATATTACTTGTGTACATATAACTATGCTAACAATACTATACTACAACAAATTACTATTCTTGAAGCTGTTTAAGACTGTTAGTCAATAAAAACCAGGAAATAGACAATTAAGGTGAAACATTCCAGACTGTCCTCCAGCATCTAAACACAACAGGGTGCAACAAGGAAGTCTCTAAGGTCATGGTTAAGACCTGCCAAATTGAACTCAGAGAACACCCGTCAGTGGCCAGTATTCCTGTATCTGTGAGGAGTAAGGAAAGCCAATGGGAACATTTGCTCCTGTCAGTCTCCCACCATGGGGACAGCGGGGAAACTCAAAACAAGGTATGTTGACACCAGCTACATAATTAACGTAATTAATCTTGATTCGACAAACCCCTTGAGTGTAGACCTGGCCTAAGTTTGTGCCTTGATTTGCCAGAATATTGGATAATACATAGTTTAGTCATTTGCCATGCTTTTGTTGTTTTGCGTCACAACTTGGGCCACTGTTAGTACAGTACTGTTAGGAGAAATAATCCTTTAAAAAGCCCTCTAAAAATTAAAAGTTAGTATATGAAAAAGAAAACTATTTTGCCCTAAAAATTAATTTTAAGTTGAATAAAACTGAAGCAGAAATTCTTTAAACAAAACAAAACAAAACAAAAACAAAACAAAACAAGTCTTAAAATTTATCCTCCCCCTCCTCCCACATAAAAAATGTTCTCAGACTAGAAATCTTTGCATATTAACACTTTTTTAAAAATGAACATTGCATTATTCCTTTTGAATTTAATGAAATTTACACATGTGCAAAGTTTTAAATATTTAGACAAAATTTAATAAAAAGCAACTTTTCTTAACATTAAGATACAAATCCCTGAAAACAAGGAATAATAGAAAATAGACAATTTAAATATATTCTTGATCTTGCATATCAACCGGATACAGTACATTCTACAGGTGATATTTGTATATTTTAAGCCACTGTTATGAAAGTAAATCCCCAGAAATGTCAGTGGTTCTATTTTGTTTTAAATATTTGAAATAATCTGGTGCTGAATGCTGTATAACAATCAAAACAGACATATAGAATAAAAGGGACATTGCAATTCTTTTGCATTCTTTCCTCATGCTTGGCTTTGACTGACTGCAGAAACAATCCTGGGATAGATGGTATATAGCCTTTGACTTTGAAAGTGATGCAGTTCAGAAATAAATGGAAATATGTTGTAGATTTATAGAAACACATTTAGATTGAAACAAAATGGAAATGGGAAAGGTTTTGAATTATAGTCCTTTTACACCTTCTCAGTGGCTGTGGTGGGTGAGCAGAGAGCTTTAATATTTATATTCTGAAGAGTTCATTAACAGTGTTTCTAGGTACAGTGGTACTGGTTAGAAAAGAATATACACACTTGTAAACTTTAAATATCCAGATGGTTTTCTTCCATTAATGATTCCAGTAAAGTCAAACTCGTATCCTTTTCTGGCTGGCTAAGTTTCTACTTTCCCAAATGTTTCTGATTATATTAATTTCTTATATTGTACCACATGTGATTATGATTCAGAGGAACTTTAAAAGAATGGGTATGAACACATTAACAAAACTAAACATTTTCTGGACACACACAAGAAGATGATTGTTTTATGTGTCTCTTATTCTGGTTAATATCTCAGGGCTACAAGATGCCAAACACACATTTTTTTAAACTATGGCACGTGTGTTGTTTATGTAGCCTACACTTAAACGAAACATGGAATATTACAGGTGTGGCAGAAGAAGAGATCTAATTATTCTAAGTATTACTATCTTACTCTACATTTTAGAAATATGTGGGTATGTCTGTCCATTTGTGAGTCCATTTATTCAAGAACTCCTCCTAAATGCTAAGAGCTAGGACCATCCAATTCAGTATGCGGCTTCTTCTTAATCATAAGGTCAGCGTTTGGTTGTGTCAGGATAATGGGATGTGCATGGAATTCAACTGTTTCTCATAAAATGGGAAGGGAAAGGTCTGGCAGGAAGGAATTATACTGCAGAATGACCACGGAGGGAGCAAGGGCCCAAAGATGGGGACTGGGACAGCTATAACCCCACTGGACCAGCAGGTGGGAGGAGTGGACAAAGTGAGGCTGTCTACTATATATTTCAGAGAGTTTGTCTCTTTGTGTGTTTTTTGTTGGTGTGTCTGTCTATCTCCCAGCTAGGGACATGCACTCCTACTTCCAGTTGTGCTGACTGGAGCTGCAATGGCCACGGGCAGGTTTCTCTCACCTGGGCCCAAGTTGCTATGGTGAGAGAGGGCAGAGGTTGTTCTCTCTCGCAGGGGCAGCCTGCATACTGAACCCCTCATCCCCAGCTCCTCCCCAAAACAATGATTTATATGAAGAAAAACAAATGTTATTTGAATTAAGGACCCAAGCAATGCCGAGTAAATCTTCTAGTGTCTGGCATATAGTTTAGATGGTACAAGACAAAACCTTAGACCCTAACAATCAGGAAATCTTGTGATTTTGGGAAATTGGTGACTAGTGTCTCTATAATAGACAAATCCAGAAGCTGGGATTCAAACTATACTTCTACAACACCTACATTTTTTTTTAAAGTTCAGATCTGGACACAGACTTTAAAGTTTGGATCCCTGCCTATTAGGAACTGTATGATCATAATTAAGCAACTTTAGATGCCAAGACTAAAACAAGTAGCGGGAGAGGACCTAAAGCCTATATGATCATAAAAAAAGTCTGAAAAACCAAAAAGGTCAGCATTTTTCTAAAACTGCTTATAACATAGAAATTATTTCATGAGAGGATTTGAAATTATAAATTTTAATCTCATTAACAAATTTGTATTTAGGACAATTATACATTTTTAAATACTGATGTGATAATTTAAACAAAACAAGGAATAAAAAGGAGAAAATATGGAAAAAAAGAAAAATAATCACAGATTCATAAAAGTTGGAATTACATGCAATCTCAGAGATCCATCAATCCTGAAATGTTTACTTACAGTATTATGTGCCTATGTGTATTATTCCCCTACATTATCCCCATGAATGAAATATTAAGATTTCCTTTCAAACATTTCCAGTGAGATTCTGATCTCTTTTAAAAATGACAAACTTTGTAACAGCAAGAGTACTTAACAGCTGTACAAGTAAAGCTTCTCGTCTGGTTTAAAACCTGCTCTTCTATAGTTAAAATATTTTTAGTAAACAAAATAAAGATGAATACCGTTGATGAAGAACATGTATTTCCTATAAACCAGTGGTCACTTTAACAGAATTAAAATGAGCCAGGATTTTTTTGGGCTTAGACAATATACATACACAGCCAAACACTACGTAAAAGTAATTTAATTTGTACCTGTTCTAGAGGCACATGTTTCACTAAGCCACTGACAACAGTTCTTGGGTTTGCTTCTCCAACATCCACTTCCTCGACATATAGAGAATCTGCATCAGGATGATTTTTTGCAGTAATAATACAACCAACACGAAGGTCTAGACGAGATACATCCATAGGTCTAGAGTCATCACTCCCAGCTGCTGGTGGCTGCTGCTTCTTCTCTTTCTTCTCTCCTGTGGTAGTGAATTTAATTAGATTAAGTAATAACTCCTTAACATTTACACATATTTGCCAACTACTTAGTATGGACAGAGGAATCTATAACTCACATTGAGATTACAAATATAACAACTTCATTCACATTTAGTATCTAGTTGCAGGATACCTGTGTTCTGAACGAGGAAAATAAAGGAAAGTTGTAACTTCTTGCTTAAACCCATTATTTCAAATCATGTAATTCTTAGATCTACACTTCAGTTCCTGGTAGCTATTTCCCATAAATATTAAACTCAATATTACAGACAAAATGACTGTTAAATTTAAGTTAAACGTCATCTTGACTTTAAATTTTGTATGAATACACAGTATTATTCATAATCTGCGAGTAGTCACTACAAAAGGAGCAAGTTTAGGATTGGTATTTCACCAGCAAAATAGAAACCCCACATAATAAAAACGAAATGATGCAAAATCTCTACGGTATTTTCTTGGCCATAAAAAAAAGTCTGCAAGAATGTTGATATATATCAATAAAATAAATTATTATTTCTCTTCCATCAACATATAGGTATTTTAATCACTTCTCACCAAATTATTGCTGGACAGCTGATTTTTGGTATTGTACCAATTAAAGAAATTAAAAAATGTCACGTGCTCATCTGCCCAAATGATTGCTATATGCAGAAGGATCAATACATTCGTTCAATGGGAAATTATCAAAAAGGCATCTTAAGTTTTAATTGATTCATATCTGTTACTTATATTTATTTAAGAATTGGCTCATTAGGACTCATATAGATATTCTTCTTTTTTAAATTAGCAGTTCACATTTTCTAAGCTTTCATAACTATGATAAAGGGTTATGTACATAAGAACATGTCTGTTGGTTTGAAGATGAGGCATTCATATTTTGTTTACTAATGACAACTGATGGGAGTAGGATCTCAATTCATACATGTGTATTTCAGAGGCTAGTTCTTCTATCTTAAATAGTTGGATATTTCTAACATTACTACCATGATCTAACATCAAAAGATCACACATTATCTTCAAGGAGGAAAAAAGGGACAATGAAATCTCTCTTTTCACTTGTAATTTAAGTAAATAATGTACAATACATTTTTGTATATAAATATCTCAATACATAAAAGTGTGCCTGTACAAAGCAGCAAGTAGGGAGTTCTAATCATGACTTCCTTCTGCCATCCCAAAAGATAACTGTAAATAAGGCTATATAATGGCTCATTATTAGAGAATACACAGAAATAATTTCCAATGAATTAACACACAAAAGTATGATGACATATGGTCTGGCATAATTGTAGTTAGCTGTCAGTCTAGAGAGGTTCAACCTGTATACAGTATTGAACTTTTAGGGAGTTCTAATCATGACTTCCTTCTGCCATCCCAAAAGATAACTGTAAATAAGGCTATATAATGGCTCATTATTAGAGAATACACAGAAATAATTTCCAATGAATTAACACACAAAAGTATGATGACATATGGTCTGGCATAATTGTAGTTAGCTGTCAGTCTAGAGAGGTTCAACCTGTATACAGTATTGAACTTTGTAGCAAGTGCTGGTTTCCCTGTCCCTCAAGTCAGCCGCTGCTGAAACAGATCAGCGGCCGATTCCAG